ATGTGAAGGATACGTCCGTAGGAGAATGAAGTGTGAAGCGAGTTCAACATGTCGTTAGGCCTTGAGTGGTGCAGGGAGGGCTGTATTGACGTGGAGTCGCAATCTAGCAAGTGCATTTGCAGGAGGCAAAACAATGCACAGTTTGCTCAGCAAATCGGAGTAGTCCAAGGGGATGGTGGTCTCCGAAACGAAGAGAGATGTTGCTCCAACGGGACAGTTATCCAAGAGGGATAGATGCTGGTTTCTCTAGAGGGAGAATCATATGCAACAAACCGCACATGTTGAGGAGTACCTCAACAAACAATAACTCCACGAAGCTCAATGGACCGAGAAACGGTGAGGAGTCATCACATGATCTCGCTTGAGAGAATGTATTGGTGGATGCATTGCGAGATCAAGTGGGGGAGCGACCCAAAGCAACACAAATGAAGGCACACTTGGAGTCGATATGGAGATTGGACTCAAGGGAGGGCTGACCCGGGGAATGGTGGGCGCAAGGGCCACCATCAACTCAATGCAAAAACGAGGAACGGAACAACTTGGGTGTAACTTGGCGAAGTACCCAAGCCGCATGAAGGGAGCCAGCATAGAAGATGGAACATGGAGCGGAGGCACAGTACTTTCCTTGGACAGAGGTCAAGGACATGAACTCTTGTAGAGGCAAGAGCAGGATCATGTTGTTCCATGGGTCCTTCGTTCTGACGGAGAGGACTCATCTTGCATAGTGCCAAAGACGGAGGGAGCTTCTAGGCACATGCACCTTAGCTCGGAAAAGCATTTGATAGAGGAACTAAGGCGACTCAACTTGCGGAGGCAAAGTTGGGTTCAGAAGGCCTTGGCACGGGGCAAGAGGACGCGAAAGCGAGTATTCTTGAAGAATATATCACAGTGTTGCCAATCAAGTTGCCAGGTAGGAAGTGGTGCGCAGCGGAGATTGTGCTGGTAGGGGCAGAGGCCCAGGATCCAAACAATGGTGCACTAATTGCAGCGAAGTCGGTGGACTTTGGGAGCTACTAGGCGACGAACTATCCTAGAGCGGTGCTTCATCTAGGTGTGACCCAAGAGTGGGTGGATGAAGGTTGATTGTCAAAGGAGCGAACAAAATCGAAGGTGGAAGAGACCCTGCGATGTATTGGCAGATTCCACAAATAGAGGGATCACAATTCGAGTTCATCCCACAAGGATCAGAATGCAATTGAGATGTCACCAGGAGGCGACATGGTGCAGCGGATCATGGTGGAACAGTTCGTGGCAATACGATACACACGACATTGTCCCGTGAGGGACTAGATCATACAGAGGTATGATCGGGAGCTATTGGAAGCTCCACTTCGGTGAACAACACGACGGTAAGAAGGGCTATGGATTTAAGGGGTGACGGCCATGGTACCGCAAAAACGGGTCTTCCGTGCGTGCATCGAATTTTGCATCGGATAAAAGTCTTGGTCATCAGCATATGGGAGCTGTGTTCCACCAAGGGAAAAGTTCGAATGCAAGTACCAGTGAATGCCATGGGAGGGACTTGATTATGCAGAGGTATAATCGAAGCAGCTGGAGAGTTGAACTGCTCCAAAGCCCATATTCGCTTAAGGGAGCCCGACAAGTCAGAGGACAAGATCGAGTAAGCGAACGTTACTACCAAGGAAGCTAAGGAGAACAGAATCGGTGTAAACCCTACAACGTTACTGTCAACCGAGACTCGGATAGTAGGGCCATGAGTATGGCAACGCCATGGTACCGCAAAGGCGGGACTTCCGTGAAAGTCATTGATCCCTTGCTCTCATGGAGGGAGAGCGCTTGGTCGTGAAAGGGGCCGAGGAGGTGGAGCATACAGAGGCAAACTCCAAGTACCGAGACAAGGCTAAAGGGCTGAGGCCAAGGAACTTCGTAAGACCGATGTCAACGAGCTTCTCATCAAGATAGCCGAAAGTGAAGGACTTCGGGTCATGCAAGAGTGCACGACCAAGGAACGAAGCAGGCAGTACGCGGTGCTGTACCTTTGCTACTCAGTGGAGTAAGCGGCCGGGTTGATGGAGAAGACGGTACAAACCCAGAGGCAACCAAAACTATTAGAGACTTACTCCAAATTGGGGTGAAAACTTCCTGCATTCCAGAAGTTCAATGGCATTGAGAAGGTGAATCACAGTAGCTAACTCATTGCAAGGAGTGCAAACACTTCGAGTGCTTCAGAAGTGTGAGCAAAGAGCAGGCGAAGGTCAGTAACCAGCCCGATGCATGGAGTATAACCCTCGAGGAGGCGAGCGAAGTCAAGTAACCATTGCCTTCTCAACTCGTAAGAGAATAGGTGAAACCGAGTACCCCAATTCTCTTATCTATCCAGCAGAGGAGTGTTGCATAGGTTCAAAGACCCTTCGAAGATAATAGAAGACAATAATTGTCAAATCCTCACCAATGGTGATCAGTGCTACTGAGAGTAGATTATCTGCTTCATTTCCCAACAGAATGCCAATCGAAAGCGGAAGTGATGCGAATCTACTTGGAAGTGACAACTAAATGAAAGAAGAGTTGATGGACATTTTGTGGAGGAAGGACCCAAAACTTCGAAAGTTTACGAGGCGATGCTCGTTAATGCTCCAACAAGCATCCACCCAGTTCAAGCAACATGTGGTATTTGAGAGACTGGCGTATAGTAAGGATGGTCTTTTCCTTCATCTGGAGGATCCGCAAGAATCAACAAGGATCAACATAACTCAGCCAACTCCACACTAGAGTCAAAGTCATTGGCGAGTTGAAATAGCATAGCAGATCAAAAGTTCGACTACTCAACAATAGCAACGGAGAGCAATTGGGAGCCAAGAGGCGCATTGCAGCTAGAGCAGAAGATTGAAGACTCAGCAAAGGCGAGGAGTTGTAATGTCGGCAAAAGGCTTCGACGAGGATGTCGAAGGAATAAGTGGGGGAGAATGTCACGGACAAAGTTCTAAACAGGATGTTTGATGTAATAATTATATATGTCCGTGTCTTTCTGTTTGTTCATGCTTTGCACAGTATGTAGAGGAACGATCGAAGGCTTAACAGCCCCATTTTAGTTGGGTTTGGTGGCCTTCTTAGGCTTGTAAATAAAGGTCGTGTCATGTAGACACTTGTAAGAGATATTCGGTCTATAGTGAACAATTTCAACCCTTTGTTGTGCAACTGTTCAGAGCTTGTAAAGTCTATTTGTAATTTTCATTGTCTATGAAGTATTTTCGGAAATGTGTGCTTGTGGATCCCGAGTAAGGCGTTTTCTCTAACCCGTCTTTTGTAGTTCCTAAGGGACCATGGGAGGTTTCGGGGAGACTGACCTTTGCGGACGGACACACAAGGGTGCCGCACGACTTAGGCAAAACTAGCTAAGTCCGTGATAGAGCGGCGACAGCGGCAGCGGCAAGCGACAACAATAGCAACGAGCAACGGCAGCGACAGCGTGAACGGCGAGCAGGGTTAGGGTTGGGCAGCGACAGCTGATATCGGTGCTTTAGTTGGTTCGATTGAACCAACTAAAGCACCGGAGACCGAACCAGACCTAACACGCTGGTTCGGTCGCTTGGTTTAACCCAAGCGCTCGCCCGAAGCGCCCGGCACCTAAACTCGGGCAAGCGCCCAAGCGGCGCCTCTTTGAAGTGCATCGCCTAGAAATGAAGCGAGGCACTCGGGCCCTGCCTCGCCTCGCCCGAGCGCCTAGGCAAGCGCCCAAGCGCCTATTGAAATCACTGGTCCGTACCATCATTAAAGGGAAGGAAAGAAATGGGGTAAACCTTAAATTGGTAAAGAGAAAAAAAGCTTATTTAACCCGCCATAATACCAATCTTTTCTTTTTCTCTCTTGGGCCCCAGACAAATCTTCTCTTCCATTTTGGCCAAGGACGATCAAATCTGATAGGGATACCAACATATCATCCTCCTCTCCTCTCTTTCCCATTCTTTACCCCTAATAGTGCTAACCCTCTCCAATCATCAGCACAAGTTCCTTAAAGGAATCAGCTTTTATCCACAAGAATCTGACAAAGATTCTACAACCATCTTATCTAGGTGAGTTCCAATAGATTCTAGCCATCTTCACCAGCAATTTGAGAATGGATCCAAAGTCCACACAATCAAGATTTCTCAGATTGAAAGGGACAAACTGTGCCCAAAACTCCCAGTCTGCTGATACCAATCTATCTTAAGTTATTCTGAAAACTACAAATGAAGTTTCTCACATAAAGCCCAAAAACCTTTATTTCCAAGGAGTCTTCACCTTTCAATTTTGCCTAGATAGTGATTCTTAGTGTTGAATATTTTCTCAACCATGTAATGATTTTTAGCTCAAAGTTCTCTGTTTTTTCCTAATTTTCAGTATCCATTTATTTAATATTTTGGGATTTTCAAAATCTTTCCTATGTATGAATTTTTAGAAAATGTGTTCATCATGAAGATGATTAATGAATCTGGTCTTGCCAAGCTGATCAGATCTTGATCATGAAACCCATGGCTAATTTTAATTTCAATCTCGATCCCTCAAACCTTGGTCAGGCAAGTACAACTGAAAAATAAGAAAGTATGTGGGTTCAAGGATACAAAAGAAAAATTGCAAATAAAGACATAATTTGAAGAAGAAATTTTGCAGTCTAAGGATTGCCTCTTGTGCAACAAAGCATGTCAGTGACTAGAATCAGACATGCTGTTTATGCTTGCAGGGACACTATTTTATGCTCATAACAATCCATGATGATCATTTGCTCCAACTTACACATGAGACAAATCTTAGAAGAAATGCATCTTCTGCCACTATCCTGGTAACCTAAATTCTTTGGATTAAGTCAATCCAGACAGCACAGCAGCCTTTCAAGATGCATCAGAGACTACTGTTTAACAGCATATCATAAGAATGTGACAAACAATGAAGAACTTTCTAGCAACAGAAACAAAAAATAAAATAGTAAAGCAAGCATAGTATTTTAAGGATAAGAATCAGATTAATCTAAAGTGAAATAAAAGCAGGTAAAGCGAGGCACTTACCATCACCAACTACAGTAAAGTTCAGATATTGGCCAACATGAAGAACCGGATTCCTAGGATACAATTGTGCACCAACTGATACCTGGCAAGGTTGATATTCTCAGTTCAAATTTAACACTAAAATTGGAATATTGGAGCTTGTGCAAAGCACCAATCCATAAAAGTCAAGCTGCTTGACTAATCTTCATGATGAAAACGACTAAGCCAAAGAAATTTTCAAGTGAACTTGGTTCTTCCAAACCAGAGAGTTCAACAAATATGTTCAAGCAAGAGAAAAAGAAACTAGTTTGACTTCCAAAACCAGTGTTTGGAAATTGAGGCTGGCTGCTGTTATTTTCTATCAATTTGATAGCATAAGCAAATCAATACCAGAATGAAGTCCGCATTTCTTGGGTTCCTATTGATGGATATCCGCACAAGAGCATTACCAGGTTTCTTTGCCTACATGATAAGGAAACAAACACCAAGGAAAAAAAAGAGGAGAATCAACCAGGAAGTCAATCATGGAGGATACAAAAATTGACACTGTTGAATGCTCTGTTATGAACAATCAGAACAAGCCTAGACCAAGCCATCTAGTATAAAATAATAAAATATCTTGAATGTGATAGCAAAAGAGAGCTGACATACCTCTATAAGGACATGTTCATTGCCATGTGTACTGTTATTATCCTTTGATGACATGAAAATAGAGAGGACATCAGGATGATTAGTCTCAACTTCCAGTGGAACCACACCATGTGCTTCAGCAAAAGGATAACCTAAAATGGAACATTAAGTAGAAAATGACAGATCCAGCCTCAAGTTCTAAGAATAGACTAGGTACTTCAGTTAAGCTGCGGGTAAAGTACCTAAATAATCTGAGTACCCAATATCTAACTCAAGTTTAGAATTGACGGCAAGATAGGCAACATGTAACAAAGCTTCTGTTGTAGTTACCCATACTTGTGACACCTGAGCAATAAAGAACACATTAATTTGCCTAAAATAGCTTACTCTACAAGCTAATACAAGACTTGCAAGTAGCAAAAATTAGAAAGAATATATTTAACGAACATCGATATGTTTGCAAATGATAACTAACTAAGCAAGACATGTCACAGATAAGCTATACAAGGGAAAAATGCCCTTTCACAAGGTAAAAAGGTAAATATCCAACAAAAGAAATAAAGCACAATGTTGTATTATTGTACTAATGACCAAGTTATTGGCAATCAAGATAAATAACCAAAAACTATACTTAAGTTTCAGCATATGAAGGGATGGGCAAAAGAGGAAAAACAATAATGAATATGTAAATTAGTGGAGTAAAACAGAAAGTTATATGTGAAGGAGATATGATTTGCTTTAGCTTTCTTAAGATTTAAGACAATGTACAGATGATATGGACAGATGAAAAACATAGATGAAAGCAAAAATGAAGTTAAGAGGCAAAGTTGAATAATAAAATATAAATATTAATACTACAAGAATTGTTATGTTGGATATTGAAAGACTCAATGGCTTGATGCAGACACCAATCACAGTAAAATTTTATATCATATTTCCAGAAGGACAATGCCATGCCTTCATGGATTTTTAATCTAAATTTCTATTGGAGACACTTGTAGAATATGGCTGGTCTCTTTGACAAGTCACTCTGTTTGCATTAACTGCAATTTTCCAAACTCGAATAAAGATTAAGATATTGATATAACTATTTGAAGATATGATGAAACTGTAGCACTGGGAGCCGTCCGGAATTTCCAGGTAAATTGCAACTTAACTAAGGTGAAATGTTCTTTTAGTATCCCTAAAAGAACTACAAGAAGGACCAATTCTAACAAAGAAAAAATTTTCATGTGGTATGCTATTAACAGTAGAATATTAATAAAATACTGCACTGCACCAACCACACCAAACAATTTTTTGGTTTTTCTTATTGTTGTGCTAAGCAAGGATTTAAATCTCAGCCAATATCAGTTTTGGTGTCCAATCGGGCTAGTGCGATACGAGCCTACCAGATTGTAAGGTTTTTAATTTTGAATGAAACCGCCTAGTATACGTATCAGTCCGCCAGCAGACTAGTACGCAGACCGTCCGCTACCGTCAATTGGGGTTGTTTCCACCCCGTTACTACACGTAATCGGTCGGTGACGATTGATTTCAATTGTTGCTGCCTACTATGGGGTAGGATTAGCCGAGGGAGAAGGAAGAAGAGGGAGAAGAAAAAGGAGAACCTGGAAATTCGACGTCGCTCTCCCTCGACGATCCTAACCCGTCGCCACCCTCCCTCGCCAAACGCCATAGATGAGATGTCGCCTCCTCCTCGTCTAAGGCGACGAGGCCTCAACGTCGTCAACGACTTCTCATTCGCACTGTCACGGACTTAACTGGAATTGCCTAAGTCGTAAGGCACCCTTGCGGCCAAGACGCGAACTTAGCTCGAGTTGCCTAAGTCGAGAAGCACCCTTGTGCCAACTTCTCAGACCTAGTTGGGATTGCCTAAGTCAGGAGGCGCCCTTGCGACAAACGCGTCCGCAAAGGGTCAGCCTAGTTGCAACCTCGTATAGGTCCCGAAGGACCTGTAAAACAGAAAGTTGATTAGATTGAAAACGAGCAACGGACAAGTCCCGACGTCTCACAAAGAGGGAAAGCTTTATAAGCAATTCAGCAAGCACCTTGTGTGCACAGGAGAAAAAAGAGGAAGGAGGGAAACAAGGACTTTAGAAGGCAGAACGAACGATTGCAAGTCCACAAACAACTGCTCACCGGGTGCCGGGCGCGAAGGCAAGTTCCCATCAAGTTAACGTGCGAACTTGTGAAGAGTTTTTCAACGCCCAACAATATACCGAAGCCCCATCCAGCCCTGTGCCGCCCGGGGGGTTCCAGGGTGCTGAGATGGCTGACGTTTCGCACGCAGCTGCAGCTTGCAGAAAACAAGCCCTGGCACGCGAAAACAGAGTTGTTTTGGGCAGTTCGGCCCGGCGCGATGAGCGATCGCACTGCAGCGCTGCAACCTGTTCGAACATGCATTTTTACAAGCAAAACCACACAAAACTAAGGCAAAACATGCTGCCATGTCTATGTACAAGCATGCAAAAGCGACGAACGGTTCGTTGAACGAAGTTGTTGCGGGTGCGCGACGACCGTTCGTGACATTCTCCCCCACTTAAACTGTCGACACCCTCGTCGACGCTTGTTGGTAGTTGTTGATGATTGCTTCTTCATGTTGTAGGGCATCTTCAGGCTCCCAACTGACTTCAGTTCGGGGAAGCTTTCGCCACTTCACCAAGTATTCAGTCTGCTCAACTCCATTGGGTAGCTTTATCTTACGATCCGCCAGAATGGTTTCAACTTGCTTCTCGTAGGAGGCTCTGGTGGGGGGTAGCCGAGTTGGAACACTTCGGTAAGCATCTTGCGGATCTGAGTGGGTAGGCTTTCAAGTTGCCGGCAGCTGTAACCTGTAGGAGACGTTGCCCACCCTACTAATAATTGGGAAGGGCCCTTCATACTTACGCATCAATCCTTTGTGTACTTTATTCCTAAAGAATTGCAGTGATGCTGGTTGAAGCTTCACCAACACCAAATCGCCAACTTTGAACTCCTATGGTCACCTTCCCAAGTCGGCCCACTTCTTCATATTTTTGGTCGTCTTCTCCAAGTAAGCCCACACAATATCTGCATTTCGGTGTCATTCTTTTGCAAAATGATATGCTGACGAACTACTCCCAGTATATCCGATAGCCAAGGTATGAGGAGACGATGGTTGTTGTCCTGTAATGATCTCGAACGGGCTTTTGTTGGACGCAGAGCTCCGCTGCAAGTTGTAAGAGAATTGGGCTATGTCCAACAACCTCACCCAATCTCGTTGGTTGACACTCACGTAATGCCAAAGATATTGCTCCAGGGGCGAGTTTATCCTTTCAGTTTGTCCATCCGTCTGGGGGTGGAGGCTTGTGGAGAAGTATAACTTAGACCCCAACAATTTGAATAGCTCGGTCCAGAATCGTCCCAGAAACTGAGCGTCTCGATCACTGATGATATTGTGCGGGACTCCCCAATATTTCTCCACATTCTTCATCATCAGCTTGGCCGCCTCCTCTGCTGAACAATGTAAGGGTGCAACAATGAAAGTTGGATACTTTGAAAATCGATCGACCACCACGAGTATCAATCTGAGTCCCCCTACTGCCGGCAAGGTTGATATGAAATCCAAGTAAATGCTCTCCCACGGCCTTTCTGGTACGGGCAACGGCTCCAAAAGTCCCACCGACTTCCGCTGCTCCACCTTGTTTTGTTGGCAAGTGAGACACGCTCGAACATATTCCTCCACATCAGTCCCCATCTTCGGCCAGTAGAAGGCCCTCCACATCAGACCATGCGACTCCTCATCGTCACTGCTAGATTCTGAACTGCTTGAACTAAGGGCGACGGCTTTGCCCTTGTCTGATTTGGGGGGGTGGATAAAAGCTATTAAAGCATTGAATGCATGTTTTTATGAGCACTCCCTCACCATGTGCGGCCCTCCGCACAAGAAGTATCCGCCAGGTTTTGGAGCCTTGCCTTTTGAGCTTGGCCCTTTGTGGGATCTCTTCTTCCTTTGTTCGCCTCCGGACTCCTTCCCTCGAGAATATTTTGGAGGACGATTTCCTGAAGATTGTTTCCTTTTTCCCGGGTCCTCAAAGGAAACAAAGTCGATGAGCCTTTCTACGACAACAATTGCCCCGATCACATCGGTGACATTTCTTCGATGCAGTTCTTATTGAGCCCATGGCTTCAGACTATCGAGGAAGCTGAACAACTTATCCTTTTCGGACATGTCCTTTATGTCCAGCATTAGTGCAGAAAATTGCTTCACATAGTCTCGAATGGAAGTACTTTGGCGAAGTTGCCTCAACTTCCTTCTTGCGACGAACTCTGTGTTCTCCGGTAGGAACTGAGTTCTCAACTCCCGCTTCAAGTCCTCCCATGTGTCCACTCGACACCGACCTTGTTGGATCTCCTCCCAACGGGTTCGCCACCAAAGTTTTGCATCTCCGTTCAGATACATGGTTGCAATAGAAACTTTGGTTTCTTCGAAATCAGGCCTCGTAGCTCGAAAGTATTGTTTCATGTCGAACGAGAAATTCTCGAGCTCTTTAGTATTCTGGCACCTCCATAACAATGCGGCTCGGGTGCCCTCAAGTTTTGTGGCGGCAAAACGCAGGTGTTGCTTCCTCCCGCATTCAGTGCCCTTGTGAGCATGGTCACCCTGGAAGTAAGTTCTACCACGACTTCCTACAGATGTTGCACGGAGTCGTTAATGTCGTCCAACAGTCGATCGACTAAGGCCTCGACCTTGTCGTTTTGGGATTCGGCTTCTTGCGAGCTCTCTACCCCAAGAAGCCTTCGTTGGCCTTGGTAAAGTTCCACCAAGCTCGCTTCAAGAACGTCCAAGCAGGTTTCCGCCGCTGTGAGTATCTCCTTATGGCTCTTCTTCCCTATTGGCGCTTCAAATTGCGCCTCCTCCGCTCGCGGAGAGTAACCAATTTCTTGCTCATCATGCTCACTGCCATGATCCTCCAAAGCGACTCCAATGACATGAAAGCGAGTTTGCACTTGCAGCCCACCTGCGGCTGCTTGGGGCAAACGCCCGATTTGCCCTGCCTTTCTTGATTCGCCACGATCCTTTGCCATGGCGAAATTGCGAAGTTCCTTCGCTGCTTGCTCGAATTGCTTGCCCGCACTGATACCACAATGTCACTTACTTAGCTGGAATTGTATAAGTCATGAGGCACCCTTGCAGCCAAGACGCGAGCTTAGCTTGAGTTGCCTAAGTCGCGAAGCACCCTTGCGCCAACTTCTCGGACGTAGCTAGGAGTGCCTAAGTCAGGAGGCGCCCTTGCGACATATGCGTCCGCAAAGGGTCAGCCTAGTTGCAACCTCGTACAGGTCTCGAAGGACCTGTAAAATAGAAAGTTGATTAGATTGAAAACGAGCGACGGACAAGTCCCGACGTCTCGTAAAGAGGGAAGCTTTACAAGCAATTCAACAAGCACCTTGTGTGCACAGGAGAAAAGAGGAGGGAATCAAGGACTTTAGAAGGTAGAACGAACAATTGCAAGTCCACAAACAACTGCTCACCGGGTGTCGGGCATGAAGGCAAGTTCCCGTCAAGTTAACGTGCGAACTTGTGACGAGTTTTTCAACGCACGACAATATACCGAAGCCCTATCCAACCTTGTGCTACCCGGGGGGTTCCAGGGTGCTGAGCCATCGTTTCGCGTGCAGCTGCGACTTGTAGAAAACAAGCTGTGGCACGTGAAAACAGAGCTGTTTTGGGCAGTTCGGCCCGGCGCGACGAGCGGTCGCACTGCAGCGCTGCAACCTGTTCTAACATGCATTTTTACAAGCAAAACCACACAAAACTAAGGCAAAACATGCTGCCATGTCTAGGTACAAGCATGCAAAAGCGACGAACAGTTCGTTGTACGAAGTTGTTAGGGGTGCGCGACGACCGTTCATGATAGCACGGGGAGACGCCTCGACGACATCGCCGAGGCTTCGTGGGGAGAAGAAAACAAGGTTTCTTCTCCCCACGCGGGGAGAAGAAACGAGACAACATCGCCTCAATGACGTCGTCCTTGTTTTTATTTTTTTCTTTTTTATTATATATATACTGAACGGTAAGCCAGAGCGTACTGCTCAGTATACTCGTACCGTATTGTATCGAGCTAAGCACGATACTCTGGTATGGTGCGAAATTGCGAACCTTGCCAGCTTATATCACCAAGACAAGGAAATAAATGAAAATCTAATACCAACTGATACCAAGTACACCATTCCAACAGGTAGAATACTGGTCCATGATTGAACTGGCAAATGCTGGTCAGTACATGCTAGTCTTGGCAGTATTTAATTGATTCCTTGGCACTGAAGCATACTACAACACATGATCAGTATGAACTAGTTTTTATTACTGGTACCATTTTGTCAAACCTAGATAAAATATAAGAATTAACTCATGGAAGATGTTTTATTTTACTAGAAAAATGAAGGAACAATTCTAATTGTGGTTTCTACAGTAATCCCTAAGAATTAATCAATTATATTCTTCAAAAGTGCCCTTAGATGAAACTAGTTTGGAGTAGGATTTTTTTTCTAGTAAAAAAAAATTATCTCCTTGTAAGATTTCCTACATCTAAGACACTTAGAGGAGAGGGAAATGAAACAAGAATGAAGATTATGTAAGAATATATCTGCTAAGGAATTTAGGGAAGAAAATAATAGAATTACCAGCACAATTCATTTAGGCACATCAGAGGCTTTATCAATAATGTGTTACACTGCATGTACAATGAGAAACAGGCAAGTGCTTGCTAGCAGCTTAACAAATGGTTAGATGAATTCACAATTGATCAAACAGCACGCATGGTACTTCAAATGATTTCCAATAGCAGTAAAGATAAAGAGTAATAGTTTCTGTTAGTAACATTGGTTGCTACTCTAGTATTTCCACTTTTCATACAATCACCATGTGCCAGGTTTTTGATAATTTGGAACTCACATATTAACTATCAGCTATATATTCTAAGATACTCATGCTGATAAAAGAGAAGCTAGCTTAGAACATTGATCCAGCAGTCGATGATTCAACATTTGCTCCAGAAAGGGTGAGACCACAGAAAAAAAATTTAGAGGATGCAGACCAGAAACAGTAATATAAATATACAAACAGAACAGAAATTTCATTATTACAGATGCTGCTCAAAGACTGAGACTCTTAATTCAGGCATAGTTTGGAACACAACTAACCTCAGCAACCTTTATACAACATGCAATTTCTGCTCTTCCAGTTGCATGGTCATTTGCCTGGATACAAATGTTTTCTTTGCTTTGCTTTGTTCTAATTTTACCTCCGTCAATAGTCATACCTTCCTGTTTCAGAACATCATTCCTTCCACATACCCTAAGGATAGAATATGTAATACTTTTCCGGGAGTCTAATTGTCCATATGAATCTGATAATCTAGGCAAAATCTCCGATGTCATGTAAAAGGGCGGCAAGATCCAAGTAATGGGTATTCCGAGGGCTAGAGGAGGACTAGGTACCACTTCCAACGACTTTGATGCAGTGTAAGATAATTGTTGAGGAGAACCAGATAACACAACATCACACGACATAAAAATGGATACTTCTGATCTGCCAGCAGATCTGGTTCACAGACACAGAACTATATAAATGCATGCACTAAAGATATTTGCATGGTACTTACAGGAATACATTCTGCATGCATTTTTCAGCATGCGTTCAATAAATTTCTGCAGTATCATACATCATGAAAACAAAAACAAAAACAATTCAGGAACATGAACTGTAACAAAAGTTGTTCACCAAATCTATATTAAACATTTACACTAACAGCTACAAAATCAATAAGTTGGGAGTGCAGATGAGTAACTATAAGTTGGTTGGAATCCTTGTAATATCAATCTAAATAAAGAATAATAATGATAATGTATATTGTATATTGTTATATTATAGGAAGTTAGTCGACATAGATCTTACCTAGATGACAGGATTATGATTTAGCTTAAATTTGTGCATCTATAAAGGCCAAACAGCTAAAAAAAAACACAATTAAAAACAAACAAAAAATATATTGAGTTTCAAGGTTTTCCGCATCGATCTCTTGTAGACCCTCAAGTTTATAATATCCAGTGCTCAAAATTAGTACTCTTTTCAACATCAATATAGACCAAAAAATTAATGTTATAATTTAATAACAAACTAAATCATTCTTATTTTTAGCTAAAATTTGTATAATGTTTAAAATATTGTGATATGTATATGTCCTATGAACCATTACAAGTGGTCCTAGACTCCTTAATCTGTCAGGCAGAGGATAACAATATTGTTTTTGTAAATATAAACCAAGTTCATTAGCTGATATGGAAGGCAATCTTCATCTAACAATATTTATAAACACCAAAGGGGCCTGTGGGTCTAACCTCTTATATGGAATTGGCTTTGACAGCATGGCTGTAAATAATTAGGCTCACATTATTTTATATTAAATGAAATATACACATCAATGTTGCTCTCACTAGAGGACCAAGCATCAAGTGAGACAGGTCTCAGTAACCAACATTTTTCGCTTTCAAATTAGAATTGAATAGGATATGACAATATTATGGTATTTCAAAAATGAATCTAAATTTATTTTTTAAAAATAAACATAATTATACATACAGTGTAAACTAACCACACTTTTTAAATCTAAACTATCTTATATTTTCTAATTGTAATTTTAAATATTTATAAAACTATTTTTATGTTAAAGAAGATAAAAATGTTTTAAAGTAAACATTTGTTTTATCTAATTATATACAAACATATTTGAATGCTTTTGATTTATTAACTGCTCCTGATCTATCCTAAAACTGACATTTAGTTACATCAGATTTTATTAAAAAATATTAATGGAGAGGATTTGTAACTTCATGGGATTTAAATCCAGTGTGTAACATCCAAAAATGCTTCTTATTCTTGAAACACAGCAGCAATGTGACCATCTCAGCGTCAGGAGCAACAATAGTTGGGCAGCAATGGCAACGTTGCAGTGCGACAAGCAGCAATAGTAGAGGTAATACTCTTCCTCACTTTCCCTCTTCTCCACAAGGTTCTCCATTTTGACCGGACTGTTATGAAACAGGCAGTACCTATTGGTCCAGGCATGAACCAGGATGCAGACCGCCCCTATTTCAGGCAGTCCAGGCCAATTAGAAAACTAAAAAAACTTAAATCTTCAATTAGCGCTTGCTAAAATGAAACCTCTTCTTGCAGGGAACATGGAATTGCTCCCAAGTCATTGTCATTTGCCTCCACCACCACCACCACCATCGTGTGCCACTACCATCCGACAATATCGTCGTTGTCATTCACCACCACCTACCTCTCTGATAGGCTTCCTCCTCTCTTCTCCTCTCTTCTTGCAAGGAACATGGAATTCTGCCTCCACCACCACCACCATCGTGCGCTACTACCATTCGACACTGTCATCATTGTCATTCACCCAAGGTGTACAGTTTCGAATGATACCGCCTGGTACAAGCGACACGTATCGGTCCGACAGCATACCGGTATGCGGACCGTCCCCTACTAGGCGAAACGTATAAAAGTGCCCCATATCAGACGATACGAGGTTATATCGGGAGGTAACAATCGAAATTTCGACCGTTACCACCCAACACAGCTCGGTAACGATCGATTTCGACTGTTACCACTCGATAACAGTGTTCCAACGGTCAAATTGATCGTTGGAGCCCTTTCTCATAGGTTTTTAAACCCTTCTTCTCCCCTATTTCACTTCATTTTATTCTTATACTCTCTTAAACTATCTCAAACTCTTTTTTTCTCACATTTGTGCTCTCCTAAACTTTACAAAACAACGATTTGTGAATCGAATCGAGGCTAATTTGGGAAAATTAAAAGGAAAAACTTTCTAATCAAGAGGTATATATTCTCTTTCTTTAATTAGAGAGTAATTAAGATCTTTAATATTATGATTAGTGTGTATAATATTGATTAAATCAAAATTAGATGCTTAATAGATCAAATATTTATATTTCATGCATATTAAATAATGAAAGATATTTATGATAGTAAAATAAGTTTAACTAGGTTTTATTAAAGTTATTGAATGCTGTGATTAGTCATTTTAATGATGATTTAATTGAAATTTGATCGATTTTATCTCAATTCAATGTATTTAATACTTAAGGTGTTTTCCATGTTTATAGTATTGAAAGAAAAATAATTAGTGAGTAATTAACTATGTTAATCATGTAATTAGTATATTTAATGATGATTTCATCGTAATTTGAACTATATTGGATCAAAATTACGTATTTAATGCTACATTTATGTGTTTGACATATTTATAATGGTAAAATAGGTTTAATTAGGTTTTATTAAAGTTATTTAATGCTGTAAATAGTCATTTTAATGATGATTTAATCAAAATTTGATCAATTTCGGATCAATTTAATGTCTTTAATACCTATTAGGGTGTTTGACATGTTTATAGTGTTGAAAGAGAAATAATTAGTGGGTAATTAACTATGTTAATCAAATGATTGGTGTATCTAATGATGATTTTATCATAATTTATCCCATATTAGATCAAAATTATGTATTTAATGCTTCTTTTATGTATGTAACATATTTATGATGATAAAATAGAATTAGTTATATTTTAATAAAATTATTTAATGCTGTAATTAGTGATTTTTTTCAATATTTGGTCAATTCAATATGTTTATACTTTATAGCTTATTTGATTTAAATTTGGTATGATCATGGCACCAAAGGAACAGCCACATAATGATGCATCGGTTCATGCCCGAAAGATAGATGGTAACCGTCATCATTGGCAATGTATTTATTGTAACTACATTGGCAAGGGTGGAGGAATAACTCAGGTGAAGATGCATTTGGCCAGCGGATATCTTGATGTTACAAAATGTAAGAAGGTTCCGACAGAGATCCGTAAATTATATCAAAGCAAGCTATAACAAGCAAAGAAAGATACATTAAAAAAGAAGACAAGAGTTGAGGAAGAATGTTATAGAGCTACGCAGAAACCAATTTATAATCAGTATGAGGGTTGCGACGATCAAGTCGACCCGGATCTCACAATTGGGATTTGTGTATCATTGGAGTATCAATATACGATCGATGAAGCAATGAGGCATCGATGACCTGACTCACAATTGGAGCATGGTAGTGGTAGTGGAATCCACAAGTCGGCCAACATGAGACAGCCAACTGCTCCTCAGTTAGGCCGAACTAGTAGCATGAGGTATAGTGGACTCCGTAGTTTTATGAGAGGTCTTGGTAGGAGGTCCGCACCAGATATTATTGATATTGATCCGCAAGCCTATCCCCCACAAACAGCAAAACAGACACGGATTGACGATGTATACACAAAAGAAAAGAAGCAGGATCTTGGGAAGGCAATTTTAAAATGGTTCAACTTCCATAAGATTCCTGCCAACACAGCCCAAGGTCCATATTATAATAGCATAGTCTCTTCCATTCAAAAGTCTGGAACAGGGATCCAACCTCCAACACCGAGGGAGATTTACGACGTGTACTTAGATGAGAATGTGACAGAATTGAAGGATTGGATCAAATCCTTCAAGAGGCAATGGGACGAATATGGGATGACACTGATGTGTGACAGTTGGACAGGACCAACAAGAATGAGTATCATCAACTTTCTTGTTTATTGCAACAGAAGAGTAGTGTTTCACAAGTCAGTTAAGCTTTTGAAAAGATCCAAGATGCAAACTACATTGAGAGCTTGATGGACACTATAGTAGAGGAGATCGAACAACAGTATGTTGTCCAAATAATAACCGACAATGGAGTGAATATCAAGAAGGTCGGTTTGCAATTGATGGAAAAAAGAATAACTTTATTTTGGACTCCATGTGCAACTCATTGCATAGATCTAATGATGAAGGATATTAGTGAGCTGGACGCGATCGAGAATTGTGTAGCTTAAGCACAATCAATTATAAAGTTTATATATAATCATCATTGGGTCCATACTTTAATGCAAAAGTATGTAAATTGTGAGATACTCCGACCTGGAATTACTCGGTTTGCTACCAATTTTGTAAATTATGTAGTTTCACAAACGACAACATCTAGTGGTTGCAAACGTAATTGGTCAACGTTTGCATTGATTCACACGAAGGTCCGCAACAAACTCTCCTACAGACGGTTAGAGAAACTGGTATATGTCCATTATAACATGCGACTAAGATTGCGATGTGCTGAGCTGGATAAGGAGCCAGAGGAACCAAATATTGATCCTATCGACCTCCAATTCTACAACGAAAATTTAGAGCCGATGTTAGATTGGGTTGAAGCAGCAGAGAACCAAGAGGATCCTCTACTTGATAAGGCAAGAGATCCTCAGCGTCCTTCACATTTTATTACCGAGGCAATAGAAGAAGAAGAAGCACAACCCCAACAAGTGAAAAATCCCCCTCGATCACAACGTGGCAGGAGTCGAACAACATCGAGTCAAACTGCTCGAGGAACTACAGACACCCAACGATCACAATCATCCGCCCAACGTGGAAAGGCAAAGGGGGAGGTAGTACCATCAGTCACATTGTTGGAAAGAATCGAGTCGGACGACGAGACACCTTCACAATCACATTCAGCAACTCGCTCGGTCCAGATACATGACAGCAACACAGACAGCAGTGCCTCAACGGATGATGGCGATAATGTCGGGCAATCGTTGGTCTCGTCTACATAACTTGAGGGTGATACATAAACCGAGGAGCAATATTTTACACATGCCATCCAAGATTCAAATCATGGAACTCAACAAGGTACTGGACAAGTTTATGCGCGGAAGGGGAAGGGAAAGGCAGTGGATGAATTTGAGCAGATGCGACAGAGCCTACATGATGTAGACACAGAAAGAAGCTCATCGTATTCACAACCGTCATATTATGGAGAATTATATGGGCAACAACAGTACAATGATAGTTGGTCATCCTTCTCTGAGCAACAGTATAGTACAAAGCAGCAGATCAGTAGCGAAAGTAGAAGCTCTGACATTCACCAATATATTCCTCAGGAGCTGCCTCAGACAATTGTGATTCATGACGATCAGCCTACAATCATCACCACATTGATGCATCAATGGAATACGGTGTATCAATACACTATGTCGTAGGATCAATTTCCTGATTGGGTCCAACAAACATATCATATTGATATGCAAATGAATAGGATCGAGGACCCCGATCCACCACCCGTGGAGGCCAATCGTTCGTTTTAGTGGTAAAATCAGCAATCAAGTATATCTACATATGTGATTATTTAATTTATTTGAATTTTAGAGTTTATATTGTAACAAAATAATCTAACAATTCAAATGATTTTTCTGTAGATATTTCAATATTTACATAAGGACAATCCGTAACGGACCGAAATACGAACCTTGCACAAGACTATTCCTCAAAGACTGAAAAAAATATGTGATACTATTCTTACCTAATTTACATTGATTTTGCTAAACTTATACTATTACTATATTTATTTCTAACTTAGAAACCCTATCCTAACTTCTTTTTTTTACTTTCAGGTATTTTCGGAGGATTTTACACCTAAATTAGGCGTACCGCTCGGTACATGGCACCATACCGTACCAAGCCAAACTCGAAACCTCGATACGGTACGATATTTCAATCCTTGCATTCACCACCGCTTACCTCCACAAGAGGCTTCCGCCTCTCTTCTCTTCCGTCACAGCTTCCTCTTCTTCCTTCTTCCACCATGACCTTCTCTTCTTGCTTCCCCTTCATCTGCCACCTCTTCTTCCTTACTCTTCTTTTTTCCTCTTTCCTCCTCTTCCTCCACTGTACCTTCTTCTTCATTTTCGAAACACCAGTACTAGTGTACCATATCATGTATCGATACATAGGTACCAACAGATATGTATCAGTTCAACCAGGGACTGATACGGGTTCGTACGCGATACAAGAACCCTTGCTTCTGAACCTATTCTTTAACCAAGTATTGACAAATCATCCATATATAGATCAGTTACAACTTGTATCTACTGAGTCTTGCCTAGTTCCTATTGTATTGGCTGCATCAAAGGGGTAGAACCGAAGCCAATAATTATGTAATGTCAGGTCAATACAGAAGTAATGGACAAAACGTCGAGTCTAAGAATCAGAAATATATAAAAACCACTTTGTTATTATATCCCAATATTTGTGCTATTTGTGAAACCATGCTACAAAAACAAAAAATTCTGATTGAAATTCTGATATTACAATAGGAAGTTGAGAACCATTTTTCAGTTAGGATAAGAAGTTCTCAAGTTCTTTGTGACACATAAATATGGTTCTAAAGGGAGTTACAAATTCATGATGAATTCCTAATAGCAAAAAGAAACTGCTTTACTAAAAATTAGTTCATCTCACCATTCATAGTTTTGTACATCTCTTCTTCCAAGCTCCAGGTTTCAGCAAATCCACAATCAGATAAGTATCATAGACTCACAGTATTGCTGTATAAATGATAATCACTTAGCAAGGACTTTTTCAAAATGTCCTATGCTTTAATTATAGAAAGAATTAAAGAACCAATCCCTCCTTAAGTTACTTTTCATAGAATAGAACTAAATATGGAAATTATTATACAACAACTTTTTATTCATTTTCGGTTGTTCTGGACCTTCTGGTTTTAGTATAGCATAAGCAGGTACCAGAATGGGAAAGGAAACTTGGAGATACGGAACAATATATTTGAGGTTTATTATAGTATATTTTTACAAAATTAGATTCATGCAATAATTTAATATATTGAATGCAACCTTGCAACTTTGTCAAGTATAAGACCCAATCTGTGGTTGAATTAGACAATCTGCTTTTACCAGCAAAAGTCAACTTTTATATATCAATATAATGATTATGTAGTTAAAGTATAAAATGGGCTGAAAGGTTGATTACCATATAAGAAACTAGCCAAAAGAGTGTACCATTGGAGAAAAAAGGGTTCAAGTCATGGAAACAGCCCCCCACCTACAGGCTTCACAAAGTGATTTTATCAGGACCCCGCAATAGCAGGAGCCTCATGCACTTGGTAGCACCGCAGATTTGAAGGGAATAAACCAACTATTCCCTTTATTTGGAGTTCATGATAAGTGTATTCCAAAAATATAAACTTCTTGAACTAATCGCATTGGCATCCAAGTCAAAGTGAGTACCTTCCAGTCAAAACATTAATAAATGCACCATCACTGTCAACTGAATGGCATGGATAACCATCTTGCTCACAACTGTCTATTCGAAAGCTAAGCACCTAGCATACAGGATAAGGGCATCAGTATACCACCATAAAGCATAAACAAACACCAAGCAATTCAGTGAAAAAATCACCTTCTCGTTCCCTATTGTCCATTTGTACTCTTGACAGACCTCATAAAAAGAAAATAAGTCTCCCTGTTTAAGCATTGATGAATTAGTAACAGCTGATCACATTAAAAAAAAAAGTAGCATGCTTGTTCAGGTTCACATGCCTCAGGGAAAGATGGAAAGACTGGCATCTTGCAACCAACACAAAGTTGGTCGCTTTGCAGATTCAAACCCATTGCTGGTGGAATTCCAACTTCAATTTTTGCATAAGCTTCACATATCAAGGAATCCCCATTCCCATAAACAGCTGCACGGACAGTCTAACAGTGGGAGTGTAATTCATTATAATTGATTTATTTAGCATAGAAACACAATATTCTAATCTACCACATAAAGTAATAAAGTCGGTTTTTAATTAACAAAGTGACATGGATGAGTTGAACAAAAAAAACAATCAACAAAAGATCCATAATAAAAAAAAAAAATACTACTTATCACTTACAGCATTTCCTATGGATTTAGCAAAAAGCTTTCCTGAAGGTTTCTGAACAACAACAATTTCCTCATGCAGGCTGGTGAACTCAACAAAAGCTCCAATTCTCGGGCCATCTTTCACAGTCAGCTAAAAAACAGTTAGAGATTGTTATGCAGCTAATCAACATACTAGAGCACATAAATATGATGTTACATAACTAAAAACTGTTATGCTTGAATTGTGCTGCTTCTGTGCCATGAGTTTCACAAGAGAAAGCAGTAAGCTGCAGAGGACAGATGTTTGCTCCACATTCCATACCACAGCATAACATTGGGGCGTGTACCCAGCAAAGGCATTCATGACATGGAATGGGCAAAATATTGACACTCCCACATGCAAACTTATTATTTATAGTTATAGCAAAGGCAAGAAGTTGCATCCTTGGACTAGATAGTAAATGAATGACTACAAAGATATTACCAAGTAAGAGACACCAGGTAGAAGGTAAAGATATTCAGGATGCAGGCGTAATGGTCCATATACTTCCACTTTAACAAATTGACTAACGATTTCATAACCTGATTGTTGACTGACACTGACCTGAAATTAAATATCTCATCAGGAAACCTAATATGTATATGATAAAGATATTTGATACATCCAGATTAACATAAGATATGCCAAGATAATATACACTTACAAAGAGAGTTGCAATACCAAGCTTTGCTGCTCTGACGGAAAAGTTAGGTTCACGTACTAGCCAATTGCCAGTTCTTGAAGAATGGTACTCATCAACAGGCTCAAGTATGCCATCCTCAAGATGCACTTTAATTTTCATATACATATACTTGAAAACAAGAATAACATAAGTTATAAAAAGGAAGATAGATATTAATTTTTTTCACAAATAAATATGAAAATTGAACAACTAACTAAATAGAAGACATATTTCATGTTTTAGCCCAATGAGTAAACATATGTCTCTTCAAGACTAGCAATGTCACGCAAGCACCAGTAAATAAGTTGAACAAAAATGAATTCCAATAAACATCAAGAAAAATGCCTTTGCATAGAAATATCCAATGTTTGTTTGATAAATGATTGCATGAGAAAGTGGTGACATAATTAAGGGTAAAAACATGAAATCAAAGAGACTGTTCAGTAAGAAATTATGGGCACCTGAGAAGAATCAAAGATGCTACCATCTTCTGTCCCAGCCAAAATATCAAAAGATTTTGTGGTTCCTTCCTACAATTTTAAGACAAAGCATATCAAGCATGATTTCTGGATAGAGGGCAATTATGGTGACAGAAAGAACCATTACCATTAGGCTTATCTCTTCTTGTGATATTATCTTAATCCAGTCCACACTAGCCACTTTAACCTGTTATATAACAAATAAATTAAAATCATTGCTTGCAAAAATTGGACATCTGGCTTGCAGGTGTGTCCCCTAAATGACATAATGAACCATCAGCATACTTGCATTCGAAAGTTTAGAAAAGCATCCAATAGTTTAGCTTCCTAGAATTGATGATTGGAATCTTGTTAGCAACCAATCAAAAGAGAACCAACCACAAGCAAGCTTCAGAACTGTTAATCTATTTGTAAAAACTCAGATTCTGACACACAAAAAATAAACATTAAGGCCTTTCACATCAAACCAAAAATCTGTAGTTCATTCACATCTGATCCTTTTTAATCACATTGGAAATGCTGCATATATGTGTCAAATTTCAAGCATGCACAATCATCAAACAATTTTGTGTGCTTGCAGTTGCAACTTAATTATGCATGACATTTATGGCTGTACATTAGAGAAGAACAACACCATACTGAGTTCCTAAAAGAATTCCTGACACAAATAACATAGTAACTTAGAGAGGCACACCTCTTAACAAGGAGACTTTTATCCAACTGTAAGTTAGCTGCTTTTGCCTCTTAAAAATTGAAGCTAAATGTATCTTTTTGCAAGAGACAAGCAACTTCATTCCTGACACAAATAACATAGTAACTTAAAGAGGCACACCTTTTAACAAGGAGACTTTTATCCAACTGTAAGTTAGCTACTTTTGCCTCTTAAAAATTGAAGCTAAATATATGTTTTTGCAAGAGACAAGCAACTTCAGATACACAACACCAACCTGAGGATTCCTCCAAACCTTAAACCGCACCATAAAACCCTCCATGCTTCCTCATCTTCTCCTCTCTAGTCCTCCAAACAAGGGGGACAGGAAGAAAATACATATACCAAACAAGCTCCTCTTCACATGAATAACATAGTAAACAATCAACATAGAAATACTAATGTTTCACATCAAAAAGGCACACAACATAATTCAGAAGACACCTCTTAACAAAAAAGGCTTTTATACAATTGTAAGATAGCTACTTTTGCCTTCCCAGAACTGAAGCCAAATATATATTTTGCAATAGACAAGCAACTTCAGATATGCAACACCAACCTGAGAATTCCTCCAAACTTCAGTACCACACTACACAACACACACTCACACCCCCCCACCCCCCACCCCCCAAACCCAAAAACAAAAAAAAAAACCCCATGCTTCCTCATCTTCTCATCGCTAGAAATCAGACTGTTAGATTCCCATCTTATTTAATAGAAAACACAAACTGTATACAGTTCCTGAGTATAGTATGAAAAGAAATGGTGACATTGATTTTCTCCACATCAAACCAAAAGTTCTTCAACTTTCTTCTCTTGAGAAACAAAATTGTATTTATCAGGAAAGAGCCAATAAGTACACAAACAAGCCGTATATGCAGCTGCCAATGTATAATTTATATTGGAATGAATTATTAGACTCCAAGAACAGTAGTGTAATAGACCCTTTTTTTCGAGTTTCTGCAGAATTTGAACATACATTGGAGAGAAAATTTATGTCATAATCCTATCCTTGTTGAAGTCCTCTCCCTTAATTTGATCACTGTGGTCATGAACTCTCATTTAAAAATCAACACAAACAGCATGGAAAAGCTTTTATGAATAACCGAACAAGATACATTCATTTGGGAGCAGATTTCCAAATATGAACTACTCCAGTTCACTAACTAGTAAGATACTCCCATCTCGTCAACTAGTAAAATATAATTTTGAAAGAAGAGAACAAGTTCCTTCTAGATGCTAATCTTCTCTCTGATTTTTTTCCAAATGCACCCCCATAGTCCACCCTCTCACACCCCTCCCACTGTAACCCAACCAACATTCTATTTACCTTTTTGTTCCAACCCACTCAGGAGAAAAAATTAAAATTAAAGAAAAAAAAGGAGTCAGAAAAAGAACTGCAATCCAAATCGTTTCCGATTGGATACACCAGCAATTCAAGGACAGCCTGCCCCAAGCAATATATAAGCCCAACCAGAAGCATGCATGCACTGCTTTATACATAATGCGCAGTAGACACAGACCATAAAACTAGTTCATTGTATTTGGACCACCCAAGATATTTCTAGGACTAACACAAACTAAATTGAGGCCTAAATAGGGTTTCCCACCCAAGTATAACTAAATGAACAAGCTGTTCAAGAAATCTTGTTGAATGGTTGATAATTCACTGATTCCTTTTCCTGATAATTCAACAAAATGAAGTAAATTAGGTTTTAATTTACCCAATTTCTGGGAAAAACTGGAACAGTTCTTCAAGTTGAACCTTTTTCCTAAAGAAATGAAGCCTCTCCTTGAAGATTTCAGAGAGTTTGTGAGAGATCTGAGATAGATTTGTATGAGATTTGAGAAAATTTGAGAAAGAGATGTGAGAGAGGATGAGAAGAGGGCTGAAAGCGGGTTGTTTAGGGCATTTCAAATACACCAAAGAGACCCCAATGGATTTTAGGACTAGGAGGTTGGCTTACCGCCAGATCCAGGACCCATAACAGGCAAAAATGGGATGGTAAGCCTGATTCAATGGGTTACTGAGAGATAACCCTTCATGTGGACGCGAACTGCCTAGAAAGGACTGGTCCATATGTCGGTTTATGCTCGAACCAGCAAGTATCACTTGGTATATATCGGTCAGGCAAAATTAGGAACCTTGGTATAAAAAGAAACCAGAAAAGCAAATACATTTTGACCCCAAGGAAAAATCATCAGAAACTACGTACAAGACAAAAGTATGTTGATATCCAATAGTCAATTGTCAAAAGCAAGTGAAATCGCAATGATTCATATTGGGGACACATTAAGCAATGTGGCAAAAGACATTTAAGAATCAGTTAATAACTGTTCTTGCAAAGTAAGAACAAATGGTTTATTGGCATACACAATCCGGTTGGTAAAGCATCAGTTTTGTGCTTGATAACACATTTTTGTTACCAAATGTGACAATTTGAAGTTGAAGTCATACGATATGAATTATTGAAAACCAAAAGTGGGAATAAACAATATTCAAGAATGAGCATGAGAGGTGATAACAACAGATAAGAGAGATTCAAAAGTAAACATAATGGTCAATACGATAGCACTAGAAAAGTACAGATGGCCTCTGACAAGGTTTTAACCCAGAGGATATTGGTTATTATTCCTCCTCCTTTGGATTAATTTTTATTTGTTATGATTTTTGCTGAGCTGTTCTTTACCGAAAAAGGAACTACTTTATCCAAAAGAGTATCACCCCATTTATTTCATCAAATAAAAAGTTTAAATGTCAAACTAATACTAAGCAATATAAGAAAATATAAGACACATTAGATGAATTTGTCTCCTCTAATAATAAAATAAAGTACAAGAAAGGGAAAATGGACAAGTAAATTAACCAGAAAAGCTTCACAAATTAGAAAATTCAAAAAGTCAAGCATAATATTTTTTTCAAATAATAAAAGAAGCAGAAGAAATAAAACAAAAACAATTAACTAACATAAAGCTTAAGTAGTAAATCAAAAGAGGGTACCAATGCTGAAGCACTGGCCGGAGGTGAAAGCCCACTATCACGAACTATCACAAGAGCCATTCCCAAGCCTCTAGCACCAACGGTGAAGTGTGAACATTCAGTGCTTTCAGGAGGTTGGACTATTCCTGCCACTTGTGTATCATTTATATAAGCATCTAGGAAACAGGTTCCTCCAGTAATTGATAGATTCACCTAGACATATTTTACCAAATATAAGCTCAGATATCTGGGTAAACATGTTAACAAGAGAGTTTATCCCACAGTATCAAAATTGCAGATTTCCCAGTATGTTAAACACTTGCCAGGGATAATTCGATGAAAGATAGTTTGAAATGAGAACGACACAAAACCACATGCTTAGTTGCACTTGCTTATGGTAGCAGAAATAGATTGCAACAGAAATGAAGACTGTACAGGCAACAAAATAAATCCAAAGGGCTTTAAGTCCTATGAGTAGATGCATTACAATGAACTCGAACATACCAACAAACTTTGAGTTAATAGGATCAACTCAGTACTGGTACCAACCAATAAGTTCCGATACTTGTCTAATGGGTATTTGAAAGTTTGAAACCATCATGGTCTTACAAAAGATGATATTATTGTTTAGCAAATGCATACCTCTGCTTCAGGATAAAAAGCTATTAAAGCAAACTCCGGTAGAACCCTCAATGAAGCTACCAACTGGATTTCATCCAAAATTTGAGTCAATAAAAATTGTAAAGGCTTGCAAAGGACAAAAATTAGAAGCAGCATCTTTTAAAACCATTAAAAATATAAATGTAGTTCAACAACCTGTAAAGGCATCGCATCTGTAAGTGCAGCAACTTCTAGCAGAGAAGAAGCTTCCTCATAACGATGACTATTGAATTCTTCAGAAAATCCAATTACTGTAACATGGACGATACACTGGAAAGTATTCAGAAAATAAGTTCCATTTGACGAATATTTCACACAAAAAATTCGTGAAATCATGTTAATATGTATATGCCCTTGGAACATAAACTAAATATATCAACAACTAAGGGAAAGATCCATAGCATGAGATATTGAGAACCATGTAATGCAATCACTGGCCAAGACATATGCCTAACAGTACAGTAAATGGCCACAATGCTTGCCAATCCCATCCAACCATATTAGTTATTGCATGCCATCCAGTCAGAGGCCAATACATCCCTCAGGTCACAATAATATAAGCACAAGCAATTTGGAAATTCTAGTCAGAATCTAGCAAAAACAAAGAACAGCAGTAAATTCATTACGTAATTGTATAGTTTTCAAGAAGAATCATCTCATACGCACTATATTTAGAAGACTTTTCCTTTTTATAGGTAAGATATATCAGATTGTACTATCACTAACAATTAGGGCTCCAATGTAATTGGTCTGTAGGTTGACACTTCTATTGTATTCCTGAATTGTAATCGAAGTTTGTGTTTGATGACCTCCAATTAATATAAACAGCTTAATTATCTCATACTGGGCTAGCAGTTCCAGCATTATTCTAAAATTTCTAATCTTCTCTGTGCTGTTGATTTTTTTCGTGGGACCAAAGCCAATAATTGGCACATGAAAAGGATGGCCTATGCATCTTGTTAAATCATTTTGGGGATGGGATCAGCTCTCCCAATCTTGGTCAGCTGTTTTAAAGGCACAACTGTCAAGGGGATATTTCTCTGTGATTTTTGGTGCACAACAAAGTAATTGTGTTCCGACAAGCCTTGTTTGGCATGCAATTTTTGGTAGATAGATTGCCTTCTGTTTATTATATGGCCAATTTTGTCTTTCCCTCAATTTTATGGGATCCAGATGCTTGGTGGATAAGATAAAACAGAATTTCTCACTTTTTGTCTTACTGGCAAAATTATTTCCTGTAGGAATTTACCCTATCGGGCTATAAAATTCAAAAGATAAGATGCATAACAAATGCACAAAAGCTCTGATATAAAGAGAATAAAATGTCAAAGAAGGAACAACACTATGAGAGGAAGACGGGGCTAGAAGTAGGAAAATTTTCAAGTAGAAAAAGGAATGACTAACATTATCAAGCTATATAAGAGTGAAGAACGAGGGATTTTCACATACATGGTAAAAAAAAGAGGCTAGAAATAGATGAAAGAATTAAGGAGAAAAGGTTAAACTAGGAAACACATTCAATCAAAACATTGCTTATACTCTAATGTATATATCACAATAGATTTATTAGAATTATACGTAGATTGATTTTTTGTTGAGATCTCTTTATACGGTCAAATTTGCATTGGTTTTAATGAAGTAAATTGGTTTCCCAATCTTCTAGAAGTTTTTTTGTTGAGATCTCTAGAAAATCTGGGCCCAGAACAATCCCAAAATAACGCAAATGACTAACAGCTTCAGAGGCAATATAAGTAATCCTAGACAACGACAAGACTCGACTCCAAAGAGAACTCAAACCTAAATTTGATTCAATGACTCAATACAAACTTTTTTACGAACTCAGAGGTGACTCAAACCAACACTCAACCTAAACGAAAGTTAACTCATATAGAATCCCAATTGAGAGACCTAAGATGAGTCAAACCTGTCGAAATTCATTGTCGCTACACATCTACCAAAATTAACAAAAAATAAGTCCAGAATGGCATAAAACAGTAAAGTCAAAACTCTGATCCACTAAATCAAATCTAACAAGACCAGACTAATCTCAAAACCATGGTTGTGTCAAAGGATTGAAATTTCAACCGGTTCGACATGTTTGGCCAGCATTTACCAGTCTGACCACTGACCGGTAAGCAGACCAGCCCAAACTGGGTGGTTCGGTCCAGTCTATATATATAAATAATATTCTTTTTTTTTACATTAGAAACTACAATAACATGATGTGCAACTCCTCATGACCGCAACGATTTCAAACATCTGCCACTCGCCACTTGCCGCCTGCCAACTGCTCCGGTACACTGCTGCCTCCTCTTTTTTCTTTCTTCCTTCTCCACAACCTTCCTCTCATCATCCTCCTCTTTTTTTTCCTTTTTCCTTCATCCTCTTACTCCTCTTTTTCCTTCTTCGTCCTCCTCTTCTTCTTTCTTCTTCCGCTACCTTCTTCCTCTTCTTCCTTCTTCCTCTTTTCCTATAGGTCAAGCCATGGACCAACATAGGTCTGGTAACCGAATCTGCAAATATTGGTTGTCATTGTAGAAGTATAGATATGGAAAAAAAAGAAACACAAATGGATTATTAGCTTTATTAAACCTCGTTTAGGTATCAAAGGAAAAAAGCATGAAATAAAGGGTAAAATATGGATTTTCTCAAAAAGAAGATACAACAAAAACGACAACAAAGCCGTAAGTCCCAACTATTTGGGGTTGGCTACATGGATATTTTGCTATCATTGAGATTTGTAAAAAATCATATTTTTAGTTAAGATTAGTGTACTTAGATTTTCATTTATAGTTTCTATTAAAGTCTTTTTAGGTCTTCCTCTATCTCTTTTATACAACTAACATTAATCATTTTACCTCTTATGACTATTGCATTTAGAGATCTCTTAAGCAAATGCCCATACTATGTTAAACGATTTTCTTTCATCTTATCCTTTATAAAACGATACCTAGTTGCAAGGTTTATCGTACCAAGCAATGTCATGATGTATTGCTCAGTACGAGTGGTACATATCGGTCTATCGATACGTCCCATCGTACCATGTGTTGATATGTCAGTACATATCGTACCAATGGTCGATCGGTACACCAATACGGACTGCCGATAAAGCGAACCATATATAGTTGTTCACAAATAAAAATATTTCTTTTCCTATCTTTCCAAGTATCTCCACACATCCATCTCAATATTCTCATCTCGCCAACACGAACTTTTTGTATATGTTGTTTCTTAACTGCCCAACATTCAGATTCATAAGTCATTATTGGTCTCATAATTGTCTTATGATTTTTTTTTAATCTCAAAGGTATCCAATGATCACATAAGACTCTTGACATCCCTCATCATTTTAACCATCCTGTTTTCACTCTATGAATAATATCTTCATCGATCCCTCTATCTTATTGAATAATTGATCCAAAATACCTAAGGCTTTTACTTAAGGGAACTTCTTATCCATCCAACTTAACTATATTCTCCTATCTATTCTTAGAATTACTAAAACTACACCTCATATATTCAATTTTAATCTTACTTAATCTAAAACTTTTAGCTTCTAAGGATTGTCTCTATAACTACAATTTATTCCACTTAAATTCTCATCAACTAAGACAATATCAACCAATGTTCGTAATTTTGTATCGTACCGACGTATCGAGCTTTGCTCGATACAATACGGTATAGGCATACCAAGCGTAAAGTTTTGAATACCGGTCTGTATCGGCGTATCGAGCTCTGCTCGGTACGTACCAATATATACCTTCGGTACGCTAGGGCGTACTAATGTCTAATGGTATACCCTAAAACCTTAAAAATACCTTCACCTACCATGCTAGGACGTATCGATCGGTATGTCTCGATAACGGTCGAAATCCGGGTCGGTACCAATCGGTACGCCTCTGTACCAATCGGTATGCCTCGGTACCGATCAAAACACTGGTATTGCCCGGTAGAGGATGGTCCGCGTACCGGTATCCTCTCGGACCGGTATGTACCGCCCGTACCGAATGGTACACATCGAAATTGAGAACCTTGACCGAGCAATATATGTATATATATATATATATATATATAAGGACGCGTACGGTGCCTCGGCGACGTCGCCTCCTTTTCTTCTCGTCACATCAGGAGAGGAGAAGAACGCGGTCTTCGCCTCATCTGCAACGTTCGTCGAAGACGTCGAAGGCCACAGACGTCTTCGGCCTTTGGCGAAGAACCGACAAAGATGAAGTCGAGTCGCCGCCTCTCCATTATCTCCTAGATCAGGATCGTCGAGGGAGGACGACATCGGATCGAGAAGCGTCAAGGTTCTCCCGATTCTCCCTCTTCTTCAAGCGCTTTCTCCCTCGACGCTTCTTCTTCCCTCACCGTAGCTAAGCCACAACCAAGCTGATACGACCCGATAACGGGCGGCGACGATTGAAATCGACCATTACCAACTTGTTTCGGGCGATAATGATCGAAATATCGATCATTACCGCCCGATACAACTCAGAATCATCCGATACGGGGCTAGATCAACGGTATCGCCTGATAGCGAGCGGTCCAGATATCGGTCTACTAGCGGACCGATGCGTATCATTCGAAATTAAAATCCTAGATATCAGCAGCAAATAACATAAACCAGGGAGGTCTATCATATAAATGACTAGTAAGTTCATCCATTATCAATGTGAAAATGTAGGAACTTAATACATATCCTTGATGTAATCCTATGCTAATAAGAAACTCACTGGATACACTCCCTATAAAGTTGTATCATTCTCCTACAACACTCTATCTATAACTATTAGCATCATTATCCTCTTTAAAAATAATATACAACTCTATTGTTTACGAGGAAGTAAGAAACTCCAAGAGAATTACTTGGGTGTGGCATGAATACGATTTTATTGTTTATAAGAAAATGACACCAAATGATTTTTCATATTATTCAGGAACTATGATAAGAAAATATAAAAAAAACACAATCTATAGATTCCAAATCCACATTTTTATAAGTCATACAATATAAATATCATATCCACATTTTCATGAGTCATACATATATAAAAAATAAAGTTACAAAAGTATGTATGAACAATAAGATTCACTGTATAATCGTTGCAAAAAATCATATCAGATACGGTAACCCAGTCATCAAGATAAAGCAATATTATGCATTATTATCTATCAAAAGGATCCAACCAACAAAATATGTCTACAACATAAAACACACTAAGTATATAGTTCTCAAGAAAAATCAAAGCTACAAGAAAACTATTGAAAACAACGAAAAGTAATCAGAAACCAACCAATCCTGAAGCATTCTTAAGAACCAAAAACCTCTCCCACTTAGCCCCATCAAACTGCACAACACTATTGGTGTCATTCCAAAAGGCCAATTCTTCACAGCCACTAAGTTCCCACCTCAAGCAAAGAGATGAAGAGTTTGCAAAAGCTCTTCCAGTCGCATGAATACTAACAGCAGATATGCGAATTGTGCATCCATTAGATACACTGATAGGAGAAACACGAAGTCTTGCAGGATTTCGATCAGCATTGATTGCAGCCTCAATGACATCAAGTTTGCTTGCTGTTTGACAATATAAAGTAAAACAGTGTGGAAAATAAGCCATATCAATAACATAATTCATGTATAAGTTCACATTTCAGAACCATCTCCCATTAAAATGTGTTTGATGCTGGCAGAATACGAAAATAATTACCAGGTTCATTAACAATCATCACAATTGATGAAGGAAAGCCACATAGAACAGTCAATTCCAAGTTAGCTATTGCAGGCTTTGGATGGTCATCTCCAACTAGATTTCCACGCGAAAAGAGCAATTTCTGAGCAAAAAACAAAAAAATATGTTCAGAATACTCTTACCCACTAAAATTATTAAAACAAATTGAAATGTAAAGCATACTAATAGTTTTTAATATTTCATATTACTTACAAACTTCCCAAATGTTTGACAAACAACTTTGTACAGCCTCCTACCACTTGAGGTTTCATGCAGCTGAACTACTGACAAATTCTGCTCACCTAGAACACCAACAGTCTCAATAAACTCAACCTTTTGATCCCATCGCTCAGGTCCTCCAAGTAACAGAACATCCATCATTGAACCAGGAACTAGATACAGTTCATCAAGACCTTTACCATCTAAATCCTGGAAAGTAGCATCAGTTTTAGACAAATCAACCCAGTAACCACCAAACTGATCACCATTTCCTGCCTGATAAGCAATAAGCGGGTAGTATGCAGCTATAGATGAAACAGCCTTTAATGTAATAATTTGATCCAAAGACTGAAAGTAAGGTACTGATTCAATGGACAAACTTGCATGCAGCACAGCTCGGCCAACGCCAAAAGCAAACAGAGATGTCCATGCACAAGGAAAACCATACTGTGGCTTAGAATCATCCACATGACGGAAAATGTCAGTGGACAATAAATCTGTAGTATTCATAAATTTAAAAGATCCACTTTCTGAAGATACTTTCCACCTGATGGAAGTACTAAAGGCATCACATCTGCTGTAGTAGTTACCTTATAATAGCAAAAAATACAATATATCAGGTTAAGATTAGAAAAGAAAAACAAAGAACTCAACTAAGAAGCAATAAGGAACAATGCTAGAAAGTAAGCACCATTTGACGTCCTCAATGTCACAGCTGCATGAAGTTGTGTTCCTATGACCACCTCTACAGGAAAAATTGGTAAGATAACCATAGCAGCAGGAACTGAAACCTCAACAGCCACCTACAAAATCAAGGAAAAAGTACTAGAGTAAAACAAAGATTCCAAATTTTCCCAAACTAAGAGTGGGTCCGTACAACATGTTTAAGATACAAGATATGGTTAGTATGCACACTGGAAAGTAGCATGTGAAACACAGGCACCTATAACTAACCAACAGAACATCAAAAGCTTAGATACTACTGTTGAAGTTTAACTCTTTACACGTGAAATTAACTAAAGCATTCTCCATGTTGGTAGGAGCTTCTGCATTGGGCCACTCCTTTTTCAAGTTCGCATCGGTGTTTTTAAAAACGCTAGGCACCAAGGTCCCAAAACACCTGAGCTGCTAGGCGCTCACCTGAGCAAAGCGATGCGCTCCAAAATATTAAAATATAAAAAATATATTAAGTGCTCAACAGTTTCAAACTGGGATAGTTCCAAAGAGGGGATTAACTGGTGCTAAACAGATCCAATGAGGATTAACCAGTGCTAACTTTAAAGAGGGACTAAAAACAATTCTAAAGAGGTATTAACAATAGTAAACAGCTTTAAAAGATGCACTGAGAAGAGGAGTCACCGGCCTACAGTGGAAGGTGGGGAAGGAGAGGGCGACGACGATGGAGGAAGCTTCGAATGGAGGCGTCAGGGATGAAGCTTTGGATGTCTCTAACGGCGATGAAGAAAGCTTTGAACCTATCCCTCAATGGTGGAGGAAGTCACGCATGAAAGCATTAGAGCCAAAAGAAGCTTCGGGCATGTCCATCAAAAGCGGAGGAAAATTAAAACCTATCCGGTGATGGCAAACCAGAGGTGGGTCGAGCGATGACGTAGAGTCTAGGGTTTCACTGGGTCGGGGTGTCACGAAGTTAGCTGGAATTGCCTAAGTCGTGAGGCACCCTTGCGGTAAAGACACGAACTTAGCTTGAGTTGCCTAAGTCGCAAAGCACACTTGCGCCAACTTCCCAGACTTAGTTGGGATTGCCTAAGTCGTGATACACCCTTGCGATATGCGTCCGCAAAGGGTCAGCCAATTTGCAACATCACTCAGGTCCCGAAGGACCTGTAAAAGAAAAAGTTGATTAGTTCTTTGAAAAAGTTGATTAGTTCGAAGAACGAGCGACGGACAAGTCCCGACGTCTCGCGAAAAGGGAAGCTTTACAAGCAATTCAACGAGCACCTTGTGTGCATAAGAGAAAAGAGAGAAAGGAGGAAAACAAAAACTTTAGAAGGTTGAACAAACAGCTGCAAGTCCACAAACAGCTGCTCATCCGGTGTCGAGCGCGAAGACAAGTTCCCATCAAGTTAGCATGCGAACTTGTGAAAGATTGTTCAACGTCCGATACTATACCGAAGCCTCATCCCCCATGGTGCCACCCAAGTGGTTCCAAGGTGCTGAGATGGCTGACGTTTCTTGTGCAACAACGGACTGCAAAAAACAACCCATGGCACGCGAAAACGAAGCCATTTTGGGCTATTTTGCTCGGTGCGATGAGCGGTCGCACTGTAGTGCTGCAACCTGTTCGAACTTACATTTTTACAAGCAAAAGAACACAAAACCAAGGCAAAACATGCTTCCAAGCATCTGTACATGTAAACAAAAGCGACGAACGGTTCATTGAACAAAGTTGTTGTGGGTGTACGACGACCGTTCGTGACAAGGGGCCAGGGCATTGGGTTGTAGTGTTAGGTTTAGTTGGTTCAATTGAACCAAGTTACTGTTCAATCGAACCTGAGTTCACTTTTTGGTTCAATTCATCGGCATACACTCAGGCACTCACCCGAAGTGTCTGATGCATGGGCTCAAGCGAGCGCCCTGGCGACGCTTCAATGAAGTGTGTCACTTGGACATTGTGCGAGGTGCTCGGACCTTGCATCGCCTCACACGAGCGCCTAGGTGAGCGCCTATACGCCTATCAAAATCGTTGGTTCTCATATAATGATCTGAATGCATTAAGGATTAAGTTAGTCTACAACACAGCACCAATATTATACTATTTATGATGGTTTAAAAATATATAAATCAAGGTAGGCAATATCGAATAATACCGCCCGGTACGAGCGGTACATACCAACCGGTCTGA